TATATTGGCATCTTAATACATAAGTAAAACTAAACTATATTTATTATCCTGTACTTTCCCACCACATTTAGTATTTTGGTGATTTTTCTATGTTTTTTGTTTTTCTGTGACTTTATTATATTTTATTGTAGAAATGACATATTCACCTAGTTCCTGATGCCACACTGTAGGTAGGACATTTAAGTTGTTCTAGGTTTTTTGTTTGTTTGTTTGCTGTTTTTCATTGCTTGATGACTGAGCCACATCCTCAGTCAATGACCTCTTATACTTAATAAAGTATCAACCAAGAGACCCAGATCCCAAAGCCTGGGTTCCTGTGTCCTAATGCCAAAACTGATTTCATATAAGTCAAGAAATGACTGTTAGTACTTTGGGCTTACACATCATTTTTCAGGAATAGTTTCCTCCCAACTCTCACTCACCAGACTTGAAGAGTATTACCATTTCCTAAACAAACACCAAACCCAGGGAGGGATCAGTTGAGGGATCTTGCCAAAGAAGACAGTCCCAGAAGGAACTCAGAGAATGTCTGAATCAAAAATAAGCACAAATCTCACTCACAGGGGGTAGTAATGATTTGGACATGGGTACATTTTAGAAAACTATCTGTGTGATACTGAAGCCCTATGATTCATATCTACCTATTATTGGTATGAACACACAATTATAACCTATCTATGTGCTTGCATATGCACACAAATATACACACCATCATCACCATCTCAAACCATCATCTTAATGTCCTGGCCTTTGGCTCAAACACAGTACACAGCTTAATTTGCTATTGAAAGTCAAAACTGATAAAGATTCTATATAGAAGCAGTGTTTTTAAATGCCTATTATTCAGTAGTCTGGGTTTAAATCAAGTGTAGACATTTCAGTGATAATTAATACATAATCTCGCATAGAACTTTGGGGTTCAGTTCACTGATTTAAATGTAATGAGTTCCAAAACGGTGGTGGCTGGTCATTTCTTTTGTTTAGAATGATTTCCTAGGAAAGTTTCCTAATTGTTAGGACTTAAACTACAGGACACCTGTCTCTGTCTCTAGTTTCTTTCAATGGCAGCATATATCCTATCAAGATCAAAGACCTAAAAATTTAGGGCCTTGTGGTAGAATGTATGTTCGGCATGCTTAAGGCTTTGGGTCTATCGTCAGTATGTGTATGTATGCACAGACACTCACATGCACACATAGATGCACACATATAGGGGCAGTATGAATGGAGTCTTGTGTGCTGGCTAATTTCTGCCAACTTGACACAAGCTATAATTATCTGAAAGGAAGTTAACCTCAATTGAGAAAAATGCTTCTGTCTGTAAGACATTTTCCTAATTAGTGATTGATGGGGGAGGGCTCACTTCATCCCTGGGCTGGTGGTCCTGGGTTCTATAAGAAACAGGCTGAGCAAACCATGTAGAGAAAAGTAGTAAGCAGCACCCCTCCATGGCTTCTATATCAACTCTTGCCTCCAGGACCTGTCCTGATTGAGTTTCTGTTCTGACTCCCTTCAGTGATAAACAGCAATGCTAAAGTATAAGCCAAATAAACTGTTTCCTCCCCCAACTTCCTTTAGATTACGGTGTTTCATTGCAGCAATAGGAACTGTAAGACATTTTGTATCCTACCAAGGGTAGAGGGCAAAGGGGGGCATACTGAAAGGACAGGACAGCACAGCAGTCTGCACAGAACAGGAGTAGATAGTGTTTCTGCAATGATGGACTCTTAGATGTGAAGCTAAAGACAACAAAACATGTGAAGATGCGCAGGCGATAAAAAGCCCTGGGTGGAATTTCTCTTCTCATAATAAAACCTTTATCTGCAAAGAACTTTGTAGTTTTAAGTTCTTTCACATAAAACACTGTGGCAGAGTTTGCTGCTTATTAAGAGTCATTGAGTTCCCATTCTGATCTTGGTCTCATGCCAGTGGTCTGGCCCAGGAAGTGAATCTTTAATCCAAGCCAAGTGGTTTGCAGTTTGGCTGTACAGTAGTTGCCTTGGGAGCTTTGGAAACCCCAATGCTTGGGTCTGGAGACTCCACCATAGACTGAATGTGTCTGGGGTGAAGCTCAATGGTAGAGCACCTGCTTATAACATATGCTGGACTATGATTTCTATCTCCAACACCAAGATCTACCTCACAAACATCTCAGAGTTGAGGACCCAGGCATTTTTCTAAAAGTTCCTCAGCTGAATATATATATATATATATATATATATATATATATATATATATATATATATATCTCCAGCCCATATGGTTTCTCTTTCTCAGACTCCAATTACCTACTGTCAACCACAGTCAAGATATAGAAATTGAAAATTGCAGAAATCATGTATAAGCTTTACTCCACTGCTCTGAGTATCAGGATGAACTGTCATGTAGTCCTGCTCTGTTCTATCTGAGATGCAAACCATCCTTTGTCTAGAATATTCACACTGATCCACAGTGTATACACTATCTGTCTTATGACACCCCAGAAACAATACACTGATAGAACTTTTATTATCATTCATTATTATAAGCATTCCATTTTATTATTGCTGTTAATATTTTAATGTGTCTAATTTATAGATTAAATTTTCTCATAGGTATGCATGAATAAGGAAGATCATGGTACATATAAAGTGCAGTATTATCAAAAGGTTTTAGAAACATACTCACCAAAGAAGTCAACTATAATTTTCACCCAGGACTGAGAAGTGCTAATAAGAGCCACTCAAGAGGCTTCCATTCCTTTATGCTAATTATTGGCCTAGGCCAGACCATGTGAGTTAGTTCTAGACAGTGAGTAGTGAGTCTAGTAAGTGGTGGGTTCTGAGAAAGACTGTTTTACCAGATTATCTTCCTAGAAGCCAGGAATACAAGCATTTTAATAAATTCACACATTGATATTAAGTGTCCAATGTAGGAAAAGGAGTTCAGTCACCAAAATCTACAAGAGCCTAAAACTTCTACCCAGATGTGCCTGCAGTCCTGCAGAGGAGCACCTTCAACCTTCCAAATAGCAGCAGCTGCAGCATCTCCATTCACAGTCACTGTCATCCACACAGACTTGCACTCCCTAGAGGAAAAAGTCTTTGTGCCCTATCCTCATTTCTATTTCCCGGCCCCAGGCATCATTCAGTGTGTCAAAAAAAAAAAAATGGGGAGGAGGTTGAAAACGGTTTTTGGGAGCTTCTCATATCTTAAAACCACAGAACGCTTCAGCTTTCGCCCACAGGAGGAGTTTCCTGAGGCCTGGGAATGTGAGTTAGGATCCATTATAGTCCATCTGTAAATATGGAGTAACCGATGATAGGATGTTTTTGTTACAATGTGGGAGTCAAAAACAAAAAGAAGATGTGGAGTCTAATGCTTTGTCTGGCTTTTGGGAACCTATTCTTCAGTTACCTTGCCCAGCTTTAATACAAGGGGAGGTGCTTAGCTTTACTGCAACTTAAAGTGTCATGCTTTGTTGCAAGTCTTAGGAGGCCTGCCCCTTTTTAAACAGAGACAGATGAGTCTTTGATTAGGGGAGGATCAGAAGGGAGGTGGGGAGAGAGAATGGGAGAAGAGGGAGGGGAAACTGCAGTCAGGATGTAAAATAAATAATCTAATTTTAAGAAAAAATATGAGGAGTCTTTCAGTACCTTACCTTCCTTCACTGTAGCATTCAGGAAAGAGCACATACTTCCTAGCAATTACAGAAACTGACTTGATTACTGGGAGAAACAAATTCAGTTAGTCAGTTTCCTGAAACCACTTCCTGAACCTAGGTCTATTAACCAAAAAGAAAAATCCATTTTCATTAACATCTTCAAACTTTGTCCCTCCATCCCATCCTAGGGGAATACTGAATTACACTATAAAAGAATGAATGGAAACTTAAGTCACTTCTGGCCTCTCTCCCTTTTCTTCCTCCTCTGGTCTGCACTGTACAGAAGGCAATTCACAGTGTTTGGGGAAATGCATTCCCATGCCACTGACTAGATTACTATGGTGAGCATCATGTAGAACAAGCTTTCCCTCAGCCCAATGTTACACAGCATCTGTTAACCCAACACTGGACACATACAGAGCATGTTTGAGGCTATTTTAGCAAACCAATGCACAGGGAATGAACAACAACAACAAAAAAGAGGTTTACTTGACAAATTGTTAACTGCCCACCCATCTATCAAAATGAAGCAAGGGAGTTGGGGGAAAACCCAGCCCAGCCTTCTTAGAGCACTAGAGGAAGTTGACCAAGGAGCTTTTGTGACCTGATACAAATGGGATATGGTCAGATATCCTGCAAACAGCAGTCACCCTCTAGAGAGAGGGGAAAGGAGAAGAGAGACGGGAAGGGAGAAGGGCATACACAAGCCAGTGAAAATAAATGTCAGTTTTACTTGTTTAAAATAGGGCTGGAGTCACACAAATGTGCATAAACTGTCACAAGAGTTGCCTGAAAGTGCTTGCGTGCTGAGTACTCAGAAGAGAGCTCTGGAGCCTGAGGAGAAGAGAGGCGAAATATCAGGCAGAAAAATTAAGAATAAGTAGGGGGAAGAATCCCCACTTTTCCATGACACCTTGTTTTTGGTTTTGGTTTCCCCCTCTGGCAGCAGACACCATGGCAAAAGGCTGCCCCACAGGACAAACAGCCACCAGTTTCAGAACCATCAGTCTCAAAAGGGTTTTCTAAATCCTATGCTCCACTCTTCCAGTAAGTTCCCAGTCTCAAGTTGCATTAGGATGCTTTAGGCTTCTTTACTGCCTTTGGACCTCTGACACCTCATAAGAGACTATGGGAGAGCAGAGAGCTCTGGATGCTGCTTCAGCTACATTTACACATCTTTCATCTCTAGGTCTTCCTCTGAGAAGGGAGGTGGCTAAGTAAGTGAACCCATTGAAGCAGGACGTGTTCTGACAGCATGTGATTCAGGACAGCACTGTCCCCTAACTTCCCTTTCTCCACTCTAGTTGTTTTCTCCAACACCATTCCTTACAAGCTGCTCTGTCCAGAGCCACCTTACCTGGATCAGCCCTGGGGCAGGGTTTGGGATCAGGGTGTTACGTGGCCCAGTTGGCCTTGGTCTCCAGAGGTGTTTCCCCTTCCCTGGCGCTATCCATGCCGCCCTCGTCTCTGCTGCGAGGGTAAGCCAGCAGTCGCATGGCGGGGGCGCAGGCGGTTTCCACCTGACGCACCTGCTCTTGACTCAGCCTCTCGCGCCAAGCGTACACAGCCTCTCGGGCGTCCCGGGCAGACAAGTGAAAGGGCCGATCTGCGCCATAAGCCGAGCCTCGCGTCATGTTGAATGCAAAGGCATCGAGCGTGGCCAGCGTCCGCAGCCCAGAGAAGCGCAGCAGGCGGCGCAGCTGGGCTTGGGGCTGCCACACCAGGTCCTCGTAGCGCAGCCTCAGGTAGCGACGCCTGAGCCAGGTGGGCGCGCCGCGCGCGAATAGCAGGTCGCGCAGCCAGGCCTCGCAGATCACCTCGAGCGCGCTGGTTAGGAAGAAATCGGCTCGCGGCGCGGAGGGAAGCGCACGAGCCTGGGCTCCAGGACGGGCACCCACGCCGTGCGCCAGAAGCACCCGGTGGAAGCGGTCGCCCCTCTGGCGCGTGCGCAGCACCTGGATGCTCTCGCGCAGCAGCCCGTGCCTAGACTTGAGGCGTGAGTTGTGCACCGCCCGCGGGTCACGGAAGAGCTGCACTACCTTCAGGTTGAGGCCCGGGTCACGTAGCAGGGGCACCAGCACGCCCAGGTCGAGCAGCCTCACGTCCTTGATGACCACCACCGGGTACTTGCGGCACTCGGCCTCCAGGGCGCGGAGCGGGACGGGCGGGCAACTGCTTTCGCAGGCTTTGTCCTCGACGAGGCCCACCTCAGAGCGAGCAAGGGGCGCGGCAGGACACAGTGGCGGCGAGCAGATGACTTTGTTGGTCCGCCAGCGGAAAAGCATAGTCGTGGTGAGGTTGGCCGAGTCTGCTGCTCGCGCCGCGGGGTCCCCGGGTTGCGCATACAGCCTCAGCACAGAGAAGTCACAGCGGAAGAGGGAGCGCAGCATGTCTCTTAGCGCGCCTTGTAGGCTCTCGGCGTCGCCAGGATACAGCGCCTGCCACAGATGCCACATAGGCTCGTACAAGTAGAAAACGTCCGGGTGCTGGTTGAAGAGTTCGCCCAGAAAGGACGAGCCAGTACGCCAGGTGGCATGCACATAGATGTGTTGCTTCTCCTGGGCCACCGCCTCCCCGACGGCGCTAAGGTTGCCTGGGGTCCCAGGGTATAGACCCGCGTTTTCTTCGGCCCGGGATCTCACCTCCGCGTTCTGCTCACGCTCTCCAGCCGCCGCCGCCTCCAGGCTCCATACGCCCAAGCTGCGCTGCAGGCCGGGGCAGTTCCTGACGCCCTTGTCCTGCTCGCTGCCACTGTCCAGTACAGAGGGGATGAACAGTAGCAGAAGCGTGTAGAGCACCAAGAGCAGCGTGAATTTGCAGTACTCTCGGCGCCTCCGCCGCCGGCCCTTCATAGTTCACCGAGCCCCCCTCCCCCCACTTCGCCCAGTGCAGAGCAGGCGCCTGGTGGCTGTCTCCTCTGCCTCGGAACTGCAGCTCCCGCCTCTTCGGGTCCCTCGGCGCTGGGTGGAGCAGAGCGGTCAGGCAGTGTGTCCACTAGAGGAAACTTGGGAGGCGGTGGTGCTGGCTCGCTCTGTTTGGCTCAACCTCTTGAGAGCACTCATTGGCTGGTTCAGCAGCTGCCCGCCCTGTCCACAGTTCCCGCAACTTCTCCCCGCCCTCTTAGCCTCCCGGGTTTGCTCACAGCCTAGCCATATTTGGACTAGGCTGCCACAGGCCAGGGACACTCTCAGGGGTGCACGGAGCCTTATTCCACTTCTCCCAAACTCCTTCAAAACGAAGTTAAGTCTTCATTAACCAACTGACTTCAGGCGAGGGAAGGTCACGTATGTAGAGAGTACCCAGTGACTGGACATGAACCCTACCCAGAGAACACCACTGTTTTATTGTTGGTGATTAGTTTGTTTGTTTTGCCATCCTGGTCCTAGACAAATGATGACTCGTCATGATCTACACGCAGTGCCCTCCTTAGCCCTGCAGTGGGTGTTGTGGAGTTCTGGATAGAGCACTCAGTGAAGATAAAAGGTACCTGCCTGCACCTTATGTGGTGGTTGGTGGAGGCAGAGAGACATTGCTGGATTCATGCAAGAAATTTAATGGGTACAATCAAGTAGCCTTTGTGAAATTCTAAGTGTTCTGTTGTGCACATTTTACAAGCATTCAGTTTACTCACTTGCACTATGATTAATTTCCAGTGTCAGTTTTCCTAAAGTTCCAGCCCTTAGGAGTTGATGCTACAGTTTAATCCACATGTATACAAGGGTATTTGCAGAACCAGAGTGGCAAAATGGTGAATTTTCCCAAGAAATGGGTGTTTAAAAGAACACATGTGCCAAATGGTAGATGAAAAGGTAACAGGAAATCTAAGAGGCAGATTAAGCTTAAAATTAAAATTTAAAAGAGAACTGAACAAATGTTGTTTTCCTCTGTTTCAGCTGGGTGGAGAACAGGGGCAAGCAGAGCTGTCTCTCACCCACCTTGATAAGGCCTGGAAAGGTTAACAGACTGAATGCAAATGAGCAAATGCACTTCTCTCCACCAAGGGCAGGTGTTCAGAGTGGACAAATGAGAACACCTGTAAAGATCTTTGTCTTCTCTTCACCAAACCTTCCCATTTGTCAAACAACTGACTCATTAGCTGCTTTCTGTCCACAATCCTCTTATTTTCTGTCCATAATCCTCTTATTTTCCAGCCTCTTGCATATATATTTATTTATATATTTATTTATATTTATATTTATATATTTATATATATTTATATTTATATATTTATATTTATAATTATTTATATATTTATATTATTATATATTTATTTATATATATAAAAATATATATATTTAATATATATATATATATCTTCTTTATTTCGGAACCACCTGGCCTACTCCCCTTACTTTGGTCTCAAATTTTCCTGTTCAGTTAAAAGACTCTGGGCCATTCTTTCCCTCTTTCTTATTTTTAATTTTAAATATTTTATTTGTATGTGTGCAGGTGCATATGGAAGTCAGGGGACAACCCAAGGGAGTTTGTGGATTCTGGGAATGGGGGACTGAACTCAGGTTGCTAGGATCAGCTCAGGCCAGGCTGAGTCACTGAGTCATGGCACTAGATCTGGGTCATTATTTTAATGACCCTTGTGTGACTAAACTAAATTCCCTTGCATTTTGTCGTTTCATTACTAGTCTCGCAAAACCACTATCCCCCAAAAAACTGCTTTTGGCTTTCTCTGGACTCACAGGCAAAGGATATATTGCCATAAAGAGAAATTTAACACCATCAACCTCAGATAGCCTCTCTGGAATCCCAAATTCATCAAGTCAGTTTCAAAATTCAAGTCACCAGTACTATTTCAAATTCTCTGCTCTTCACCAACTAGGGGTACCACACCTCTTTCCCAAAAATGTCATTATTTTCTACTTCTTTTTTTTGTCAGAAGAAACCATATTGAACCTCTTCCTTTCCCACCAGTAACATTTGTATATCCACTCTTGTGCATTAATCTCCTTCATAGCAAGGACATTGTTTTTTTAACATAAAGTTCATAGCTTCTGGTATGGTTTTGCTTTCCTCATTTTCTTTTTAAGCAAATAATGTGGCTCTTGGCTCACTTGGGGAGTAAAATATGTCTGAACAGAATGTAATTATCTTCTGGTGTTTCTTTCCAAAAACCCCAAGCCCAGTAGTGGAAATATTAAAAATACAATTATTGCACACCAACTCTGAGGTGGGAGAGGGCCTCTGGTGTCATAGCTCAGTTGATACACTGCTTGCCTCCTATGCATGAAACCTAGTTTTCTCCATCAACAGCACTGAGGAGAGAGGGAATGGGAGGGAGCAGAAAATGTTATTGGACTAGATGATTTACAAGAAGGCACAGACGACGGGTATTGGTAGCTCAAACTACACCTCTTGAGTGCAATGCCTACCAACTGAACTGCTAGTAGAGACAAAGATGAAGTCCTCCTGGTCATCCTCTTGACCTGTCAAGAGCCTAGTTCCAAAGACCTTGTCCTACCCAGAACCTTAGCTGAAAACCCCACAACAGCTTTGGCAGAGTTTTGGAATGAATCAGACTCATTAAGTACATGATGGCTTTGTTACAGTCTGGCCTGGTATTATAGACACCAAACATGATAGCCATGAGAAGTGGGACTGGAGAAACTGATTTAGAGATGACCTGGAAACCTCCTTGCTGAGAAATAGTTCTCATAGTATAGGAAGCACTTATGTGAGATACCAACAGAGAAAAGCAATCAGCAGTCCTATCCAGTTATAAAACCTAAGAACCACAGAGACCAACAAGGCAAGATATTCAAAAGGAGCAATAGTTGCACTTATATCCTGGACCATCTATTTCAAGACAGTCACTTCTCAGAAACAAAACAAAATATGAACAAACAGAATATGAAGCGTGGGAGGATAAAGAGAAGGAGATTATGAAAGGGATTGTATGGGAGGAGGGAGAGGTAAATATGATCAAGACATGTTGTATAATTTTTTCAAAGAATAAATAAAATATTATATGGTAAAAATATATAGGAAGAAACTCCAGCCAGTGAAGCAGGTAAGTTAAGTGCAGATCTTCACCTCTCTCTCCATTCCTCTAAGTCCAGTCTGCCAGTCTCATCTCCAGGTCTGTAGCTGACCATGTACTTCTGCTTCTCCTTACTTTCTACCCTCATTCCCAGGGTACTAACCTGATCCTGGTGGAACATTCTAATTTACTCCCTCCTGGCAGAAACACTCAATGTTCCCCGTTCCAAGCCCATTGTCATTCTTATGTATTAGCTCCCAATACCTAGAAACACATTTTTTACCTAGAAACCCCAGCGGCCACACCTCTCAGGATCTGCCTTAGTCATTGTTCTATTGCTGTGAAGAGACACCATAACCAAGGCAACTCCTTTGAAAGAAAGCATTAACTGGGGCTTGATTACAGTTTCAAAGGTCTATTAGTCCATTATTATCATGGCAGCAAGCAGGCAGGCTCTGGATCAGTAGCTAACAGCTACATCCTAATCTGTAGGCAGAGAGCAACACTGGTCTGGGATGGGCTTTTAAAAACCTCAAAACACACCCCTAGAAATAAACTTCCTTCAACAAGTCCACATATTCTAATCTTTCTAATCCTTTAAAAAAAAAGTTTCACTCCCTGGTGACTAAGCATTCAAAAAAAATGAGCCTGGGAGGGGGACGGTATTCTTATTCAAACCATCACAGAATTGCATAGTTTTCTACCAGGCAACACACAGCCACCACAATCTTCTGAGAACCAGAGAAGGCAACAGAACCAAAGAACCTACCCAACAAAGACAAGACCTTATATCAGTACCTAGAATTACAATCTTGCAAAACACAGGTGCCTATACTCCAACGTAACAAACACAACCAATAACAAACAAGATAATATGTCTCCACAGCAGGACCTGAGGATTGCAACACGAGCCCTAGAGAAAATTACCCTAATATAGCCTTGATGAATATGATGATAAATATGATCATAAATATGATCCATAAAGAGAAAAATAAATTAACTCGTTAAAGAAATACATGAAAGCACAAACAGTGGAAGGATATTACTTAAAAAGTTCAAGACCTGAAAGTGGAAATAGAATCAATAAAGACAACCCAAATTAGTGAAAAAAAACTGAGAGGAAACTGGAAATGAAAAATTTAGGAATTCGAATGGGAATCTGAGAGGCAAGCTTCACCAACAGAATACAAGAGAGTGAAGCAAGACTCTCAGGCACTGAAGACAGGATAGAAAAAATGTATACCTTGATCAAAGAAAATGTTAAACCTCAAAAAAAAATCAGGAAATCTGGGACACCATAAAAAGATCAAATCTAAGATTAATAGGAATAGTGGAAAGAAAAGAAACCCAGATCAAAGATTCAGAAAATGTTTTTAAAAAAAAACATAGAAGAAGATTTCCCTAACCTAAAGAAGCCTATCATGATACAAGTAGATAGAACACCAAATAAATTGGACCAGAAAAGAAAGTCCCCTCTATATAATAATCCAAGCACTAAGCATACAGAACAAAAAAGGATATAAAAAGCTGCAAGAGAAAAAAGAGCAAATAACATATAAAGGTAGCTCTCTTAGAATTACACCCAGCTTCTCAATGGAGACTCTAAAAGCCAGAAGGGCCTGAACATATGTCCTGTAGATTCTAAGAGACCACAGATGCTAGTACAGAATGCTATACTTTGTAAAACTTTCAATCACAATAGATGAAGAAAATAAAATATTGCATGATAAAATAAAATTTAAGCAACATCTATCTAAAATATAGCCCTACAGAAGGTATTAGGTGGAAAACAACAACCTGAAGAAGTTAACCACACCCAAGAAAACAAAGAATGATACCTTACGAGCAAATCAAGGGAACACACACACACCGCCACCACCACCAACAACAAAATAATAGGAATCAACAATCATTGGTCATTGATTGGTCTGAATTTCTCAATAAAAAGACACAGACTAACAGAATGAATGCCAAAATATGATCTATCCTTTTGTTGCATCCAAGAAACACACTTTAACAGCAAGATATCACCT